AGCCTCCAGAGAGGGGGCGTGTTCTACCTGGCCTGTCGACCCGTTTGCCTCCGTACACCAGCGTGGCTCCCTCCTTCACGCCGATCTCACAGTACTCCAGCAGCTTGTCCAAGTGGGCTTTGTGGTTCTGTGGGCCGTGGTCTGTGGAGCGATCCAGGGGGTCTCCTATCTTCATCTTCTTGATCTCCTCCACCTTATAATCATAATCCAAGACAGGATTATGATTTTTGTGACAGCTAATAATGCCGGTTTGGTTTCTTCTGCTTCTTCTAAAGTCACATGATGGATGTTTCGGCACTCACCACTCGGTGAATGAACTCGTCGTGTATGGACTCCTCCACAAAGAGACGGCCGGCAGCGATGCAGTTCTCACCCTTGTTGAAAAACACCGAGCTCATGCCCTGTGAGGCAGCAAACACACGCTTACACAAGCATCAGCGTGCCATTTCAGTCACACTCTGACTTTCAGGATCTCACCAACACCAGAACCTTGAAAGGAACCGAGCTGTCTCGTGATTATTCATAACATTTATATGCACAACTAACTGTTCTACAAAATATCACAAATTGGTTCCCTGAGCGTTGTTCCCTCACCATGCGAACAGCCTTATCCATGTCACAGTCACTGAAGATGAGGAGGGGGGACTTCCCCCCGAGCTCCAGAGAAACTTTCTTCAGATTACTGACTGCACAGCTGTGAGAGAGAGAGAGAGTAAAGCACTGTGCAGCTGTGGTGTGCGACCTGTAAGAGTCAGCCGGGTTTTACCTCTTCATGATCTGTTTGCCGATAGGCGTGGAGCCGGTGAAGCCCAGCTTGCGGATGTCTGGGTGCTCGGACAGACGCTGTCCAACCACGCCACCTGGAGGAGATCGAGACGGTCACGTGACAGAGCCCAGGGGGGTGACACAATCTTTCACATGTGCTGCAGTCAACTGGACACTTAGTTTTGCCTGCAGCTATTTCTAATGTTGCAGTCACAAAAATCCACACAGGCTGAAGGACAAACAAGAAATGCTCCTTTTTCCTGCTGTGATCGTACAGTTTTAGCTCTCCAGGCTGCTAAAACGATGCAAATGAAGCACAGAGAGAAGGACTGAAGTACAGTCTGATCTTTGAGAACTTTCCCTAAAGCAGGAATAAACAAAAAGAGCCTGTTTAAACTGTACAGATACTGTTCATTACCAGAGCCTGGTAAAATATTGATGACTCCTTTTGGGACGCCTGCCTTCACTGAAAGCTCAGCAAACTTTAGTGCCGTCAGTGGAGTGACCTGTAAATATCAAAAATAATCATTAAAACATAAAACACCCAGGAAGAAATGAAACAGTACACAGGACGAGGGAACAATGAGCCCACCTGTGCAGGTTTGAGAACCAGCGTGTTTCCAGCTGCCAGGCAAGCTGCACTCTTCCACGCCAGCATCATGAGAGGGTAGTTCCACGGGATGACGATGGCACACACACTGTGACGGGAAAAAAGCTCTTCGGTCAGTGAAATCCACAGAAATGCGTGTACTGTCTAAATAGCTGAGGATAATTAGGTTCAGAGCTTTTACCCCAGAGGCTCTTTCTTAGTGAAGGTCAGGTTGCGGTTGGGCCGGGCTTGGTTGATGGGAATCGTCTTACCCTGCAGAAAACAGAGTGTGCAAGTGAAGAGCTTAGGTTGTGTGCCACAGAAACCCTGAGAAACCTTCACCTACCTGGATCTTGTCACACCAGCCAGCAAAGTAACGGAAGGTTTGGATGGACATGCCGACATGTGTCTTGAGGGCCAGCGTGTACACGGCTCCCGAGTCGATGGACTCGATGGTGGCCAGCTCCTCCTGATGTTCCTCCATCAGGTCAGCAAGCCTGAAGGGAGGAGCTCGATGTTAACTCTCTATATCTATTCTATATCAGTGGAGAACCAATTCACACAGTCGTAGAGAAGCCCATAAAGAGCCTGGGACAGTGGGACGATGCAGACCTCAGTGATACAATTAAGGCAGAACTTGGCTGATGACCTCAGCGGATTAACAACACTGCACTCCCAGGGAAACCGAAGCCCTCGTGTTTCCAGTTTGGGTTATTACCCAGACTACTGTGGCCGTTGACAATGTACGAGGTCTCACTCAATCATGCCAATCGACTAGAGAGGCTAGTGAG